AATAAATAGGCCAAAAATCACGAGACCGGAAGCCGGAAACCGTTCGGAGAAATAAAGATCGGCACTATTTCTCCGAACGTTCGGAGAAATAGTCACTTCGTTTCTTTTATCTATTGAACAACTCATTTGAACTCACTGTTATAATCAAGTTGCATGCACATACACAGAGCTGTTTAACTCTTTATGTAAGAGGAGGGGTAAACCCACTGCGCCGGGTCCTTTTTTTGGTACTAAATCGAAAAATGATGAAAGCGTCACTAAATTCTTAATAGGTAATTAAATCGAAACTAGCGAACCTATCAGGATAGTAGTTAAGTAGTAGGCCTACTTCATCTAATGAATGAACTTCTGGTAAAAGAAACCTGTTTTCGGCAATTGCCGAAAAGTAATTTGATGTCGAAGTCGTCATAAAAGGAATGTGCCCGAGCTGTTGTCTGAGGCTCACCAGCACAGCAGTTCCGACCGCGAGCCGATGGTGGCGGCTTGCCGGAGATAAAGAGTTAATGAAAGAACCGTTTCAATTTTTTTTAAAGACTCAAACTCAACTTTTGTTCCTTACTAACCTAAATTAATTATATTTAAATCATGTATCAGATCTTAGCCTATCTGCTTTATAAAAAAAAAGCAGTAACATTTACAGTAGGCCACTAGATCTCCATCTGAATGAGTGGGTGGTTGGCGGGTGCTCTTGTGTGGTTTGCTACTTCTTTCCTATGAAACATCTATCGTCCTTATCTCCCCTTCTTCTTTTTTTTATGTTTGTTACTCTCTTGTAACACCTCTAATCTTCTGGCGCTCATATGACCTTATATTATGCAGTTGCGAGCACAGTAAAACCTCTACTGAAACAAAAAAAAACATCTGAAGGATTCATTCATTGTCACGGTGAGCTAAAACTTTACTACATATCAGATCAGTGATCAAAACCAAAAGGTGTTACATTTCCTCTATCTTTATCGTTCCCCCTTCACGAAGACTTTGTGAGGGGTCAGTGACAGATTAATTTTTGAAAATGTTTATTTATAAAGAGTTATCATCTGTTTTACTTTGCCTTCTAATAATAATATATATTATATATCCTATATATATATATATTATCATCTTTGCCTTTCTCACCCTGCACAAGGGTAGGCCACGAACAAACACTTTCCACCTTTCTCTATCCTGGGCTAGCCACTTGTTGTTATTCCATGTATTCCTACATTTCTATAGAGGCCTATATCTATTTCTGTGATTCTTCTCCATGTTCCACATGGTCTTCCCCTTGGTCTTTTTCCCTCTACGGATTCCAATCCAATGCTTTCTTTGTTATGCAGCTGCCTGACTTCCTGAGAGTATGTCCAATCCATCTCCTTCTTCCTACCTCATCTCTGACTGGAATCTGTCTTGTTTTCCTTGACACTTCCTGGTTGGTGACCTTGTCTGTATATTTGATCCTCTGTAACTTTCTTAGACATTGTTCAAGAAAACCTGTATCCTCTTATAATGCAAGTCTGAAATGCGTTCCCTGTCTCACATCCATACAACAGGACTGATTTCACATTTGAATTGAAAATCCTCAGCTTTGTTCGAAGTGAGATAACCCTGGTCTTCCAAATCGTATTCAAAGATATTTCAGCTCCTGTTCCTCCCTCTTCGTCAATTATATTCCCACAATATAGCAGAAGGATTCAATGTTTTCCGGTGCATTTCCTTTTTATTGTGACCTGCTCCTTTCACTGTTCATCTTTCCTTAGGACCTTTGACTTTCCGGGATGGATCCTCAATCCAACAGACTCTGATAGGCTGTTTAAAACTGAAGTCTTTGCTTGCATCTGTTCCTGGGTGTGTGACAGAAGTGCCAAATCGTCTGCAAAATCCAGATTGTCCAACTGTGTCCATGGAGTCCACTGTGTACCATTTCTGTGTCCTCTTGTGGTTTCCTTGACCAGCCAATCAATTGTTTTTGTTTGTTGTTTGTTTTTGTAAAATGTTTTACGGCGCTCGCAACAGCATAAGGTCATATGAGCGCGCGGGACACACCTAATATTTTCAGTTGGTAGGAAATTTTGAATTTTTGCTCGGGTGGCGGCCGAAGCCTACTCTTATCGATTTTAGACCACCAAGGGACTTTAACGTGCGCAACTTGCACATGGGCCCTCCGAGATTTTTCACCCTTGTCCGAGAAGGCTAGGTGTAGATCTTTCCTACCAGAAGATCAGGGGTGTGGCAGAAAGACAGCAGTAAGGAGGAGCCAAGGAGTAACAGTAGAAAGGCTGCAGAAAGAGTCAGGAGCCCAGAGGAGGGGGCAAAAGAGGTGAGGGGGTGGGGGGCAGAAAGTGGAAATGAAAGCAGACAACAGAACATTGCTAGAGAGCAGGAAAGGAGGTGAAAGGAGACAATTTTAGAGAAGACAATTTTTTGGTCGCTACCCGGATTCGAACCCGCGACCTTTTGAATGAGAGGCCAACACCTTAACCTCTAGGCTACGAGAGCCCCCAGCCAATCAATGGTCAATATGAAGAGGAAAGGGGATAGTAAACATCCCTGTCTCACACTCGTCTTAATGTGAAAGCTGTAGGTCCATGAGATGGCCATCATGTATACCCCTGCAACTTGTCCCTTCGTATTATGCTTTTGATGAAGTTCACCAACTTCTATGGGATCCCAGGATGTCTCAGTATCTTCCATAGTGTTGCTCAGTCTATACTGTCGAAGGCCTTATCATAGTCAAGGAAGTTGACGATCAGCTGGGAGTTTCACTCCAAGGACTGTTCCACAATGATTCTCAACGTGGCGATCTGGTCAGTGGTTGATCGATTTTTCTGAAAACCAGCCTGTTCATCCAGTAGTCTTGAATCTGTTGCAATCTTGATTCTCTCCAGAATTATTCTGTTGAAGACCTTACCTAGAATTAAGAGAAGAGTGATCTCTCTGTAGTTACTACAGTTGATGAGATCCCCTTCTCAAGGAAACTTCCTTTATATTATATATATATATATATATATATATATATATAAACCCCCAGCAACTTATAGTAAATCGATGATATGCTAATAGCTTTTCTATGAAGCTTTCAAGGCACTAAAATCAATCTGATCACTTTTTTATTCTAGATTTATGTCTACTTTCACATTTTTCACCACTTTTAATTTGTTTGAACAAACACAAGAAATTACCCTTGCACAACTGGGTTTTTTTTGTTGCTTCTTTTTCTTCTCATCACCTAACTTATTTTGTCGCAGTTCGTCTTAATATTTAACAACTTTAATTTTTTTTTGTGTGCTAAGAATAGAGGGAGTTTATTTTTCATATCGTAGGGGATATTTTTTTTCTCTTGGAAAGTCCGGAAACATAGATTAGAGCTTCGTTGTGCAATCACACAGTCCCTATGTTTATGTGGGAAGGCTGGATGAAATGACTTATGGTATTTTCTTTTAAGTTTTGCATCAAGAATCTTTCTTTCCATTACCTTCTTTCTAATTCCCTGTGTTTTGTGATCAGCAGTTAAACAATTGTTTGCAAAGGAGTTTCGTTTGAAAGATATAACTACAATGGAGATCGCTTATACCGAAATCGGTGAGACTGGTGGGTTTTCAGTTGAGTGTTATATTTTTGGTTTAAAGCGACTGTCCAAATAGGGTGCACATATTAAAGGGAAGTAATTCATCCCCAAAATCCCTCATCCGTGTTAAAGGTGTGAGAGAAGATACTTTTATTCTATCTTTGACAGTAATAATCTTTGTATTTGAGGGTCTGCTTGTCTGTCTTACTCCTCATTGTATAAAAGTTTTTCAAAAACTTGTTACAGTAGTAGTAGCAAATGTTAGTTCTTTTATATATTCTCATAAAAAATTGTTTCTACTTTTATCAGGTTATTGACAGCAGTACCTTATTATACATGTTTAAGTTATGGTATTAATTATTTTCAGATGTTTTCTCTCTTGAAGTTTAAAGTCAATTGACTATTTTCAGTGAAAAGATGGAAATGGTTGCTTTCAAGGACTAGGAACCTACCAAGCCTTAGAGAATGGGGTCACCAACTGATCAGTTTTCAGAATGGCTTGATCAAGTCACAGCGGTGTACAGCACACTGAGAGACTCAGAAAGAAACTGTGTTCTTGAGACTCTTATTTCATCATCTGGGGTGTGTACCTCTTTGTCTTATTTCTATAGAGAGCTTAAAGAAAAACCTCAGCAACCCCCCCCCCCCCCCCCCCCCCCATATTTCAGCAAAAGAGTTGTTCTTCATGCTGGGTAAAAAACTTTTAAATCCAAGTCTGTTTTATGAGGCTTGGGAAGTGGGAATTTCTTTGTCTCTGATTGAAATGTTCACCTGATCACTTAGTTCAAAAGGTAATAGCCGGGAATCATTTGTACGAGTGTAAAAAAAATTTAAGACAACACTTTGCTTACCTGCCGACTTTATGTTCTTAGTGTCTTGTGTTTCTTTTAGGGGCATAAAATCAACACTTTGTAAATAGTTATACCATATTGATTTTTATGAAAAGCTGCTATCAATGGAGGAATTTATAGGCATTTTTATTAAGTTAGTTTCCTTTTAAGTTTGTGTGCACTTTTACTGTAATCTGCCAGTTGTTAAAAAAATGTGATAACTTCTTTCAGGTAATTCTTGTTTATTTTATTTGGTCTCTCAAAATATTTCTCTTGTTGTTACTAATAAAAAAAAACACTTTTTGTTTTCTTTGCTACAGCCTCAGCAAATGTTCATGCTAAGCAGGAAACTTCCAGATGTCCTGTTTAGAGATTTTGTGAGCTGTCTGCCCCCAGAAGTGGTTACCATTATTTTGCGATATCTGGATGGAGAACAACTTCTCTTATGTTGTCTGGTAATTCTTAATTGTTTTGTTTTTTTAAAGTAAAAGGTATATTATCATCAGCCTTCTCAATGAGCTTCTCATTGCCTATTGTTGATTTTTCTGTTTGCATGTTTCAAGATTTATTTTGGTAATTGTCTGCTTTTATTATCTAGTATGGATTTTGTTTAAAAAACTACTCTGCACAAATCTATTTTATTTCTACTAGATCATGTGGTTCTGGTTAGGAAGGCAAAAGCCCACTCGCTGCTTAATGAATAACAAAAAGCAGTGATGTGCGAACATATCTGCTCGTTGAGAGACTTTTTTATTTGATGCCTGAACAGTAAAAGTTTTCTGTCTTCAGTTTTTTGTATATATTTTGTGTTTTCTTTTCTTGTTTTCGATTTTTTGTTACTATTTTCAGCTTACTTTTATTTTTGTTTGCAGGTCAGCAAATCTTGGAATGAACGGATTAGTAACTTGATGCCTGTGTGGGACCGAGTGGCTAAAAATTGTGGCGTGCGTGTTCCCATTATTGACAGTGTTTTGGGAGAGCAAAACCCTGATGGTGTTGAAGAACTCCCCCGTTTGACTGCACCTGTATGCAAAGCTTTGTTCTGTCATGCCAAACAGATTCTGAAGGGATTCAACGAAGGGTCTACCATTTGTATTGAAGAAGAGTTCATTGACAAAGGAGCATGGCGGGTCACGTCCGTCAGATATCACAGAGGAAATGTTGTGACTGGTTTGTTTCATTTTCATTTTTTAAAAGTGCTCTCTTAAGGGATTGATATTGTGTCATATCCATCAGGTTGTGCAAAAATGTGGGGATGGAAGAGAGATGGGGTACATTTTCGTGTTAATAATTTGTTTTGATAACAACACTTTAGAGAGATAAAATTATAAATTATACGCATTTATGTGTTTAGTCCTCTTACTTTTGACTGATGATGGTAGTGTTCCAGGAAATTAAATATCTTTTAAAAAATATGGCTTGTTTATCGCTTCTAACTCACTCACTTCCTCACCGCAACTGTTGCGCACACCCGCAACTGTTGCGGGTAAAGTAGCTCCGACGTTGTGATACCACACCCGCAACCCTCGCAGTTTGCACTTTGGAATTTTTTTCTCACGTTAAAACCGCACCGTTTGCAGGACTGGTTCATCTTTTTCGTAGCTCATTCAATTATCTTTCGTTAGAAAGAAACAAAACCAAAATCAGACAAGCACAAGTTGAGTTATTGACTTTTACGACAACCACCCGTAGAACTGAATTTACCATTACGTTTCCCACAATGGCAGATCGCTTACATTGACAGTTTTCGAACATTTGACAACAAAAGTGACTCAGAGACCGATGAATTGGTGGAAGATTGTTATGACGAACTGGGTGGGGAAATTTGCAAAGAAGAGTAAGGTGTAGTAGGGCCTCCAAAACCTAGATCTAGGGTTGCAGTAGTGGGGAAGGGCGTGAGTAAGAAAGGCAAAGGGATAGCAGTTTTTGACCAATTTTTGAAAACTTGTAAAAAGAAAAGTAACAATAAAACAAAGCTGTAATTTCGTCAGGGCAATTTTTATTTTTGTTCCAAAACAATGTTCCAATTTTCAAGTCTCTATATTAATTAGCAAAAGCACTATGATTTTTAAAAATTACCCTTTAAATGGCTGGTACACAGGGAATAGCGACCCCAAAAATGGGAGGTAGTGAGTGAGTTAAAGTATAGTGGAAACCATATATAACAGGCCCGGTAATAACAGGGATCCGGTAATAACAAGGATTTTTAAAATCCCAGTTTTTTCATACTCTTTGTCTCTATTAAAAGTTATCGGCAATAACAGAGCCTCATCGGAGCCCAATCGGTTATAAGAGGGACAAAGGCTCGTTAACAATGCGTAAAAAGTAAGGGAGAGAGAGAGAGAGAGTAACCCAGTGGTGGAGCAAGCCCACGCAAGCCACACCACTGCAACCACACGCAGCGGGTGAAGTGAGAGAGGGCTGCGGTGTGCTGCAGACTTTGATCTAGCCTGAGTGTGTGCTTCTCGATCTAGCCCTATGACTTGCTACACAGACGCGTAATGTGTCAAACGCAGGCCATGGGAAACTACCCATAGATAAATACAGCTGGATTAGTTCACAAATTCTTACTTCCCTTGCTTTTCAGGGATCTGATATAACAGGACTTTTTCTCTTGTCCCTCCATTCCTGATATATCACTGTACATCTAGTGTAGTCCAGAGGCTGATTTATTTTTTTATCAGGCCTTAGTCTCTGGTCAAGTGACAACCTCTTGATGCTTTAACTTGAAAGGGTTACCAGTAAATGTTGTTCCCTTGGGCCTTTACCATGCAAGGTCACACTTGTCAAATTTCATCTGGTCTGTCATATAGCACAGGTATGCTTTTAAAGAAAAACCCCCAACTTTTTAACACTTTGCCATCATATTTGGGGGAAAATCCAAAGAAACTGGGTAGTAAACATCGCCAATCGGCGATATAAGGCGGCAAAGTATCTTTATGGTGCAAGTTTGCTTACTGTGTTTTTCAAATACTGATTTTCCAGATGTTCCATTTACTTTATACATGTATTGGTAATGGGTTTTGAAATATGTTCATGTCCTTAACATAAGGTCACCTCGTGTAAATTTTTTCCCTTGTCATATATGTCTGACCTCATATTGCAAGAAGTTATAATATCTTATCAATTTTGCCCAGCCTGGAAGTTTTTTTGTGTCTTTTTCAAACTCACTAATCTCAAATCTGGTTTGAAAATTAAAAGTTTTTTTTAAGATGTGCTGATGAAAGAGAACACACAATGCCTCTGAACTTATCCATTGCTCAAGCGTCTCCCTAAAGCGTATTAGGACAAAACTCAAAGTTGCACTGATAAGCTACAATTTTGGTTGTCTTCTTTCAGTTGATTCAAATAAGATAAGATAAGATACATCTTTATTGTCCAGATCCTGGCACATTGGTTTGGTGTTTGATAAATCTGAATTATGTCAGTTATTTTAGACAAAAACAAACCAGTCTTTGTAAATGAACTGTATGGAAAGTAACGTTGAGCTGTCTTCACTCTCTCTGCCAGGTTGTGATGACCACACAGTGCAAGTGTGGTCAGTACCGGAGGGGCGTGTCCTGAGCACCGTGTCCACTCACTCTGTATGTTGCCTCACCATCACTGACAACCATCTGTACACTGCCTCGTTCAACGCCAATGCTGAGTGCTGGGATCTGACTACGGGGTTCCATTCCAGAACCTTCTGTGGTCATACATCAGCAGTTCTCGCCATTGATGTCACTGATGATGAACATTTTCTTCTCACGGGCTCTGTTGATAAAACGGCTAAACTTTGGGACCTCACCAAATCAGACACTGAACAGCTAATAGTAACTTTTGATGATGCCCATGATGACTGGGTTTTTCAGGTAAAACATGTCTTTGCTTTAGATTCGCAGTTGATTGGCATGTTTAAGCTTTTCTATATTGTGACTTTTGAATAAATTGACAACATTGCTAAACAGACAGCACCGCACTATTGGAGAAAGGCATGGAGGAACTTAAAATGGGAAGATGTCAAATTCATAAAAACGTAAATGCATATAAATAATACACTGTATCACAAACAAAGACAATTCACACATTGTTGCTGGTGTTCTGCCCTCAACCCCTTTCTCAAAACCCCACACCACATCCCCCCCCCCCCCCCCCCCACACACACTCACAGTACAGTCTTCACCATTCTAATCATTCCTTTAATTAAAAAGTGTTTTGTTTATGTAATCAACTTTTGAAATTGCATGAGGCTTACACCAAATTGTTGTATTTAAAAGTCACAACAAATATATACAATGGACCTGTAATTCCTTGAAAAAAAAAGTATCATATTTTATAATGATACATAGGGTCAGCAATAAGACACATATGCTTTGGGGATTCTGGTCTGCTTAAATTATCTGTTCAGCTGGGAACCAATAGTGAACACATTTTTAAAAAGTGAAATAGGAAAATAATTCAGGAGTATTTTATAACAATGATATATATGTGAGGCAGCGTGGTGGAATCAGGCTCTCCTCAAAATAATCAAAGTGAAGAAACTTGCATTTTTCCACAGGTTTGTGAATTTTTTTCAGTTTTTTGGCTCAACACCTTTCATGCCCATTAAAGAACTCATTTCCGTATGGATTTTTCTGAAAAATGTTGTTATAATGCACAAAAATTGTAAATTTTCAGTCATCACAGACTCTTAAGCTAAGGGAATAACTAATCTTTGGCGGCCATTTTCTCACTAATTTTATCTCTGAAAACAAGTGACCCCCACCTCATTCATTCGCAAATATCTCGACTTGTATTCAAGATAAATGGATTTTTTTTCATCCAAATAAATAAGTGAACAAGCTTGAAGATGATACCAATAACTCTACATGCCCCAAAATTGACGAGAGCCTGATTCCACCACGCTGCCTCACATATATTATTGATTTATTTTATTGAAGTGCCTTTTTATTTCACCGTATAAGCAGATTTATTCATGTCTCCTTTTACGTCTATTTGCTTCGGGGGGGGGTTTTGCTATTGCCCTGTCAGGATTATTTTTCAGATTATCTGCAGTTGTTGTATCTGTAAGCACTTCAAATAGACAACATATTTCAGTTTTGCTTTCATCTTTAGAAGCCACATTTTTCAGTTTCTATTTTCATTTGTTAGTCAGTTAACTTTAGCAGTACTGTGTACAAAGTGTCAGCTGTTGAAATTAGATAAAGTTTCACTAAAATGCATTCAGTATTAACTTAAAATTCTTTGATGATGTCAGCTGTCCCATTTTCCAATACGCTGATTATGTTAACTTAATGTTTTCTTTTTCCACTCTCAGGTGAAGTTTCTTCCAAAAGAAAGTGATGACCTGCAGTTTATAACCTGTGACTCCAATGTGTGCTGTCTGTGGCGCACAAATGCGGATGGTCGAGTTTTGTCGTCCAATCATGTGACAGCGGACAACACAGCCAAGTTTACCTCCTTTTATCACATGCTGGAAAACCCACGCCATGTATATGCCTGCCAGTGGACAGAGGCTAATAAGTCATCGGCATTGTGTGAATATGAAGTGGTCCCAAAAGTGACAAAAATACAAAAAGTGATGTCTTTCATGATAAATCTGGACAATATTAAAGCATTTCTTCTGGGAGCAGGTTCTAGATTTGCTGTCATCATGTGTTCTATATCCAGAAAGGATTTCCATATTCTTGACATTCCAAAGCAAACTGTGGTAGCTACGATTGCAACTCCAGATTTTTATGTGTAAGTTTACAGATTATATTTAGGCATTTTTCTGTTGTTTGCAATTGGGTATCATGCTGGTTTCATGTCAAGGCAGGTAGATTGAGATACTCATTGTTATTTCTTGATGTGTACTTTCAATGGTAGCGTGGAGTCCACTTAAACTGAACATGGTCAATCCGAAAACAAGGGTAAACCTAAAAAAAATAAAGTCCCTGATTCTTTTTCTTCTATTTGAGCTACCACTTTAAACTGAAAACTGAGCCGAACCAAAGAAAATCTGATGATCTCACGAACTTCAGTTTTAGCAGACTCCACTGTATTTCACAGGCTTTTCTCATGTTAAAATGTTTTGAAGGGGAATGTGATCATGCCCTCGAGAAAAACAGTTAAGTAGCTACAGTCAAGCAAAGATAACTTAAATGCGCAAAATTCAAATTCACGGATAGATTTAGAAGTAATCCCCTACCGAATTGCTCTTTTTTTTGTATTGGCAGCAATGCTTTCTCAAAGTCAAACACCCACAGGGATGTGTCAAACAGTTCATCTAAAAAAGCCTGATCAATTTTTTTCCCCCATACTTACTTACTTACTTACTCTCTCCCTATACCGTCAGGTACATAAGGCGGATTTTCCCCCATATTTGTCTCAAATTCAAGTTAGAAAACAATCACACCCATCATCATTTGGAGTATCAGGTTACATGAGCCCACCAGGCTTGCTCCTGCACTGCATGATACTCACACTGTGGGTACTGGGTCACATCATTGCACATTACTTGTAGCATGTATAAGGCTTCCTTAAATCTAGTCAAGTGAGGTTGGGTTCTGGGTGGTGGGATGTGATCGAAGAATGTAATGTGCTGTTGTATGGTGTGTAAATTATGTTTGTGTTTGTGTGAATGTGCATTTGTGCTTGTTTGAAAATGAAGGTATGGATCTGGAAATGATTACACAAAAGTGTTGGTTACATCATCAAAATCGTGATCTAATATAAAAGCAATTTTTTAATATCATGAGGCTCATCAGCAACATTCTTCCTTTTTCTTACTTTGATACCGAGGAAGGCGCATAGTCTGTTCTTCCTTCTTTTGTTTTATCGATATCGGGTACTTTTCATAATGACAGTCCTATTTTTTTCAAGTAATATACCGCCACAGTTACTTCACTTGATTTACTTCAATATTTCTCAAATTTTTCATTATCTCAGTTTGCTGGAGTTAAAGACATGTCGAACATTTTGGTCAACCTTTAACGTATTTGAGATATCCATGCTTGACTGTGTATCAGTTTCCTCAAACTGACTTTTTCTACACCATTTCCATAACAACTCCAAGATGATGATTTGTTCACCATTTGATAACAATTATTTGCAGATACATAAGAATCTATTGCTTTGTCAGTCAGAACTCAGGAAGAGATCCTGTTTCAGTTTAGGTCATATTACTACACACCTGTTGTCTCTGTCAAACCCCATGTCCACTGTATAGATAAGTGTGTATAAACCATATTTATACGGTAGCGATCTGTAGGCTTTAGATAAATAATTTGGGGGGGGGGGGGGGGGAGGGCTGAAAGCATAAGTGGATGGTTGGTGGGTGCTCTTGTGTGATTTGCCCCTTCTTTAGTATCAAACATCAATTGCCCTTATCTCACCTCCTTTTTTGTGTTTTTCACTCTCTTGTAACATTTCTAATCTTCGGCATTTATATTATTACCTAATTGTGTTGCAAGTGCATTTAAACGCTTACTAAAACAAATGAAAGCAAAAAAATTATAGATACATTCAAATAGAATTGATTTATGAAGATTATTTGGTTCGCGCAATCCTGATGGAACGCTTAGTTAAGGTTCCCAATGTGACGATAATGTTGTAATGGTGTCATATTTAAATTTATCCTTACCTAATAGCTGTCATTTAAAATTTCACAATGGTAAAGGATGGTTTGTTTTTTTTAATTTCTTGACTATCGCTTGCTCCCAACTAATTCTATTTTCTGATTTCTTTATATCTCTCCCTGGCAGTTTGACGCGGAACGGCTCCACTGTCACGTTGTGTGACACCAGCTGGCTTAATGGCTTCCAGTTTTCCAAGATGAAGGCAGACACTCCAGTGTTTGCAGCAGGTATTGCACTCAACAAAGTGATGCTTGGAACTTGGGCTAAGTTTGTCTCTAAATTTTACTTATGTTGAATTATTACCTTTTAGTTTTGGCTCAAGTTAAGTTTGAGGGGTTTCTTTTATTGTACACTCTTCTCTTTTTGGTTAAGGGTATAAAAAGTGGGTGAGATGTGGTGCTATAAGGTAATGTAGAGTATTGGGACATACACCAGGCTTTTGAATCCAAAATGTCAAAGCAGAAAAGAGTTTTTTTATCTCTACAAAAGAACTACGGGTCGATTGGTATAGCTCGAGTGCCTTAAAAAATCTCTACCGCCCTCTTACAAGTAACCTCAAATCCATCGAATTTGTACAGCCCCAACTTAGAAGAAGTTAGATCATATCCAGGGCTTAAAAACAGCAAGGTCAGATAACAAAGTTCATTTTAAAATAAAGCATTTATTTGAATGTCTGTACAAAAACATTAGGTTGTACGTGGTGATGGACCTGACTGATAATGCTCCAGAATGCTTGCATAATATGATTTTTCTTTTATCTTGTCTATTTTGCCTCTTTTTTTTTTAACTTCTTCAATCAGACTCACTTTGACTTTAGATTCAAAGGGGGAGTCAACTAATTGTGCATAATGTCATGACAAACCGGTGAAACAAGACTAAAGCGGAAACTACTACTTAGTAACACGTATTTGCTGTCTTAAGCAATGTTTGGAACATATTTGTCTTTTCTAATTTTCTTAAAATGTTTAGTGTCTACCTAGAGCCATGAACTTTGGGTTTCATTTAGTCTTTGGGCACCATAGTGAGACAGTTGATGAAACTGATTCTAAAATTAGAATGAACAGATTTGTTTGTTTAGGCAAAGCAAGTGTTTTACAAAACCTAGAAGTGGTAGAGATCAGATCTTCTTTCCTTTAACACCCCCTCTGATTGCACAGTTGATGCCTCATATTTGGCATAGGTTTTGTGTGGGATGAATACACCTGTTAAGTCAGAAGTCGCACAAGAGACCATAAAAGCCGAAGTATACTTCAGTGAGGGCTTCTTTTAAGACAAGCTGTAGTAATATTGGTTGCTTGTTTTTAGCGTTACTACTGTTACTTGACAAAAGGTGTATTGTTGGTGTTTGTGAACAAAAACACTCTGGAGTTCCTTCTCCTTTATTTGAGTTATGTTTAATCATGTGCTGCTGGATGCGACGTTTACCATGTTGTGTTTTTGATAGCCTTCAGTTGAAGCGCAAAAGCTTGATAAGCTTTTATGCTGCTTGATCAGTATTAACAACATTACTTTTTCGCAAAGTCCTGCTGATGAAAGTAAATTCACATCTTTATTTATAAACAAAGATTAAGAGAGAACAGTATATGTCGTGGGATTATGAGGACATTGCACAAAACTAATTTGGTTTTGCTTTGAATACGGTACCTTTAACAGTGTATGATACATTCATGTATTCTGTTTAGAAGTTCAGGATAAGCTGTTGATTTGTCCTTTTTGTTCCTCTGAAAGATGTCAGCAGGGTGTCTCTGAGAAGAGAATGTCGCGTCGAATTCGAATCTAGTTTTGTTTTCATTTTCTTCCAATACTCACTTGACCAATTAGCAGAAACTTTATGTCAACATCGTCCACCATTAGAGACTTCCTATCAAGTGAGGGAAAACAGTATGCCATGGACTATTTGTGACTTCAGTATGAAATCTAAACTTGAAGCTTTGTTTTACCGTCACTCATGCACTACTGCTTCAGTATTGTGTGAATCCGAGAGGGATTTATGATTTAACTGTGTGATGTTGTTACGTGTATCAGTATCATTTAATGATATGTGAGGTATCATGGTGGAATCAGGTACTTGTCAAAATAATGAATTTTTAAAGAAACTGGCATTTTTCTGGCTGTTGGGCAATTTTTACCTAAATTTTGTTTTTTGGCTTAGCACCTTTTTTGTCCGTTTAAAAACACATTTTTTTGGTTGATTTTACTGAAAAATGTCAATTATAAAAGTGCAAAAAATGTAAATTTGCTGTTTTCAAGGACTCTCAAGCTTTGGAAGTCACCAAACTTTGGCAGTCATTTTCTCGCTTGTTTTACCTCCGAAACCAGGCAACCCCCACTTCCTTCAATCACAAGTATGTTGACTTCTATTCATGATACATGAGTACTTTATTCACCAAAAGCAAGACAAATGAACTGGCTTTAAGATGATACCAACAACTCCACATGCCCAAAATTTAACGAGCGCCTGATTCCACTGTGTCATGATACATATGGTCTATGCATGACGCTCCAAGTGATGTTTCTATTATGCAAAATCAGTAAAACATGTACGTGTAATGTGAATGATTATGAGGAAATACCTGAATGATATAAGTAGTAATGAGATAATATGAATGATGTGAAATTGATGTGAATGATATCTGAATTATATAAACAACTAGAAAAATCTATGCATTACGTGAATTATATAAATGAGGGTGGATAAAAATAGGAGACATAGACTAGATAATGATGGATACTGGTATTGTGAATGGGGTAGCTCGTTTGGTGTGGATGCTGAATAAACAAGAATGAAATAAGCTAGTAATGTAGCTATGCCTTGATTGAGAAATACGAATGATGTAAACTACCATTAGAGAATGAAAGTTGTAAAATGCATTGAAAGTTTCAAACTGTGTGAACTGCGATGTTAATGATGTACCATTAGTCAGTTGGATATGAGAATGGTGTAAATAACAGTAAAAGAAGTGAATGGTGTAAACTTCAATTGGGGGTGCTGTAGGCCTACATGTATGATTAATGTAAACAGTAAAAAGAGATGTGAGTGCTGTAAGTAGTGTGGATGGGCTTTATGACACCGAGAGATTTGAGTAACAGCAATTTGAACAATAAAAAATGGGAGTAATGTAAAGTACAATCAAGATGTGATGAGAATATAAGCAAAGTACATTAGTTGAACTGAGAGACTTGATGGATGTGAGAAAAAATGGGATAGCTTTATGGTGTTTATTACAATAACAACTTTGAATTGAGAGATGTGGATCATTTATTATCCAACTGGTTACATAATTAGTTATACATATATGATAAAGTTTATGGTATAATATCGCCTCAAAGACTTATGCAAATCGTAATGAATGATGAGACATGATGTGGAATCTGTAAGGCAACATCATACCTCTTTGTGTGCAAAGGCAAAGTGACTGGCAGTGACTTTGAGTCCTTCTCTTATGTTGCCAGCAGCTTTTGCTTTTATAAGACGAAGCAAATAAAGATAAAATGAGACATGGCTTTGCTGTTGTTGTGTTGTTTTTTTTCTACGTGTTGCTTTTAAAAAAGTTATTATTCATGTTAATTAGAGACTTCTGTAAAAGCAGCCTACATTGCTGAGTGTATGTGGTTTCAGTCAATTTCTGTTTTGTTTTGTGGGCTTGTTATTTATTTAGTGTCCTCTTTTACGAGATCCTTGCCTTGTGGTACATGTATTAGATCTCTTTGTCGAACCCTGCCTCTTTTTGGCCACACGTTCTTCACACTGTCTCATATTATTATTAGATAATATAAATTTATATTACTGTTTCTCTATCTTTGTTAACTCTCTGAACAATTTTGAGGAAAATTGTGGGAAAATAGAGTAACTAACATTGGAGTTGTTCAGTGGAATGCACTTGAAGGCCAGAGACAGGCTAATGCAAAACTGCTACTCCGGGAAGATATTATAACTGCTATTTTGTGCCAGTGAGCAGATAACAAGATAACCGGTCGGCATTAGTATAATTATATAATTCACCCTGAATTTTGAATTACGTAGGCTTATGGATTTTCCAGTGTACCTCTGTTGAGAAGTGACAATGCGTGTGGATCCCTCTTTATTTGTTAAAATTAGAATGATTAGCTCATTGCAAGGGCTTATTTGTGTTCTAGATCGATACGTATACAGATATACTGCTGATGATGGACAAACTCTACAGCCTACAGCCCTGTTTGATGACACAACGACAACCGCAGTTATGAATTATTTTTATAATAAAATAAATTACATGTACATTTTTATTGATCCCACAAGGGCATGTGGGTTTACAATGGAAGCATACACACGACATACAAAAAGGCATTATACATGGCATAAATATTATAAAGGCATACACACGTCACAAGTACACTATTACTACATGCATTGTTACTATTACACCAGTAGTCCCTACAGAACAATTTCACACCGTTGTCATTGCTGGTCGCCACTGTGCACTACTACTACTGTGCAGCGGCCTGTTGTTTTTTTTAAAACTAGGGTTGTTGTGCCTTGCTCAAGGACACACTAGGCTCAATGACCACCCATGCTGATCCCGGGTGGGATCACTTTTATTGACGCACACATACTACACACTGTACTTGGGTGGTTGGCGGGTGCTGTGTTGTGTTTGCTCCTTCTTTGCTGCCAAAAACGTATCATCCTTATCTGTCCTCCTTCTTTCTTTTGTTTGTTACTTTCTTGTAATACCTCTAATCCTCGAGACCTAATTGTTTTGCAAGTGCCTTTAAACTTTTACTAAAATTAAACTGACACACATACGCCAGCACGCGTACGCACGAACACACGCGCGTGCGCGAACACACACACACACACACACACACACACACACACACACACATGCTCGCATGCACACATACATACACACTAACGTTCACACAATCACGAGCTTACTCATAGATCTAGGAGCCGACTGACGCACTTCACAAATTCATGCATGTTATTAATCTTCACGTCAGGGCACGTCGTTTCAGGACAAGCATGATTCATCAAGCTCTAGATTCTATTCAGTAGAGCTGAAAGTAGAGTGTCGCAGTTCCTTAACCACAGTACATAATGTATAGATCTAGTTCACATCAACCTGTAGGGCAGTCAGAAACGGATTTGTTATAAATAATAATGCCACCGTCTTACATTACCTACGAATATTGCCTACAATGCTTCTTTGAATATTCCTCTTTTTCCAAGAAAGCGCGTATTTTTTAAAAAGTCAGTGTGGGTCTGCAGGAAAAGTGGCCTCTGTTCTAATCTAAGCACAGTATTTTCGTCTTCTATATTGCAGCGTTAGTCAATATATATATATA